TAGACTGGTAATCATCCACTGCCTGATGTTCCAAATGATCTGCTAACACACTTCCCTTAATTGCTTTTTAGGTCGTGTATTGGATGTCATACTCAATCAAGATCATCTGCCATCGTGCTATTCTTCCGGACAAAGCAGGCTTTTCGAAGATATACTTAATTGGATCCATCTTTGATATCAATAGAGTAGTGTGAGTTAGCATATACTGTCTCAGCCGGCGAGCAGCCCATGCCAAAGCACAGCAAGTTTTCTTGAGCAGTGAGTATCGAGTCTCACAGTCGGTAAACTTTTTGCTAAGGTAATAAATAGCATGCTCTTTTCGGCCAGACTCGTCATGCTGCCCCAGCACGCACCCCATCGAATTGTCGAGTACTGTCAAGTATAAGATCAAAGGTATTCCTTCAACTGGAGGCATCAGAATAGGTGGCTCTTGGAGATATTCCTTGATCCTTTCGAAAGAAGCCTGACATTCATCATTCCATCTTACCACTTGATCTTTCTTCAGTAGCTTGAAGATTGGCTCACAAGTAGCAGTTAGGTGTGAGATGAATCGGGCAATATAGTTCAGACGTCCCAAAAAGCCTCAGACTTCTTTTTCTATTCGGGGAGATGGAATTTCCTGTATAGCCTTCACCTTTGCAGGATCCACTTGAATACCTTTATCACTTACGAAGAAACCCAATAGCTTACCAGATCTCACCCCGAAGGTGCACTTGTTCGGATTTAACCTCAGCTTATACAACTTCAACCTGTCAAATAGCTTCTGAAGATGGTCGACGTGTTCTTCTTCAGTCTGGGATCTTGCAATCATGTCATCAACGTATACCCTCAATCTCATGGTGAATCATTTCGTGGAACAAAGTGACCATTGCGTGTTGATACGTTTCCCCAGCACTCTTCAATCCAAAAGGCATGACTTTGTAGCAAAAGGTACCCCATTGAGTAACGAACGTTGTCTTCTCCATGTCTTCGGGAGCCATCTTAATCTGATTGTAACCGAAGAAACCATCCATAAAAGAAAAGACCTTATGTTGTGCGGTGTTGTCAACCAGAACGTCGATATGAGGCAGAGGGAAATCATCGTTGGGGTTTGCCCTGTTCAGATCCCTATAGTCCACACACATACGAACCTTACCATCCTTCTTCGGCACTAGAACCACGTTGGCAACCCACTGCGGGTAAGAAGTAACTGCTAGAAAACTGGCATCAAACTGTTTCATAACCTCAGCCTTGATTTTCTCAGACATCTCTGGGCGCATTCGGCGAACTTTCTGTTTCACTGGAGGACAGTCTTCCTTGGTGGGCAGGCGATGCACCACAATATCAGTATCCAACCCATACATATCTTCATAACACCAGGCAAAGATCTCAACATAGTCACGCAGCATTTGTATCAACCGTTGCTTGACACTAGACTCCAGATTTGCACCGATCTTGACTTCTTTCTTGTCTTCCTCTGTACCCAGATTCACTGTTTCCACTGGCTCTTCATGCGGCTATATGGCCCTCTCTTCCTGAAGTAACAAGCTAGCAAGTTCACCAGGAACTTCACAATCATCCTCACCTTCGTCCCCGGCTTGGTTGATTGGACTTTCGAAGTCATAACTGGCAGTAGAAGAGTCGTTATCAGTGGGATCCAGAGTGGATGTAGACCTGTATATGTGAGTGTGTGTAAGACAAATAGCTGTTTTGCAAGATAGAAAAGAAAAACAAGGAGCGTAATATTTGTAATGCAAGAAAATGTCCAATGCTTTTATTGATGATATATGGAAATGACACATAATAATCCCTCACAAACAAAACCACGGTGTCTCGGGCAAGGCACCGGGCCGTAAAAGTTTCAAATTGTCTGTTACAAACTCAAAACAAAAGTCTTATTACTGTGTAATAAAAGAAATGGGTACGAAGTCCTTCGCCATCCAATTGCTTAATCCACCATCGGTAGTCGGGTAAATCCAACTGTCAAACTCAAACTCTTCATCATCATCTTCAATCACATTCACTTCCAGATTACTGATACGCAAGGGAGGTCTTCCAATCCGCGCACGCCGAACTGCCCTTTGAGATTCTACAGTAAAACCCAAACCAAACTTGTCAGTCTTGTGTGCAAAGTCAGGGAGTTGGCCCTAATTCGCACACCCACCTTTTTCAATAACAGCCCGGGCATCCTTGAGGGAAGCCATCTTCATTGGAGGATCTTCAACAACAATTTCAGTCGACGCCAGAGTCTGGGGGACTTCTTCAAAGTTTTGACATGGGGTTTTAATGAACTCCCTATCCATCTTCACATACCGAAAAGAGTTGAGGTGGCTTACCATGTACTCCTCTTCTCCTCGTACTGTAACCATTTTCCCTTTCACTGGGTATTTTAGCATCTGGCGGAGCGTAGAAGTTACTGCCCCAGCTTTATGGATCCACGGGCGACCCAGCAAACAAGAATAAGATGGTCGAATGTCCATCACATAGAATGTAGAAGCGAAAGTCTGAGAACCGACCTTAACAGGAATATCCACCTCTCTATGCACCATCCTTTTGGACTCGTCAAAGGCCTTAACCACAATATTACTTGGCTTCAGCACCAACCCTTCACAATCTAACCGGTCTAACGCTTTCTTGGGTAAAACATTTAACGAGGACCCAGTTGTAGCGATAAAAAATGTAGCAGGTTAAATCGGAGATCGAGCTATTAATTTACTCATCTCACAAAAGCAAGAGTCGCCACCGCGCTTTATTATTTCCAAGGGAAAAGGGAAAATAGCAAAATAAAACCCTAAAGTATGCAATGTAAAATAATACTTTAAAAGTAATGAAAATACAAGGCGTTTCAAAAAGAGGTCTAGAGTTCGGGGGTTGGTTATACAATGGGAAGGTATTAGCACCTAGTGTATCTATAATATTCTATAGGAACCTTTTGAAATATTTGTTTATTAAAATTGTTTGTTTGATTAAAAATGGTTTGTTTGGCCAAAAATGGGTATGGACGAGTTTTTGAAGATACGACGACCTAACGTCGAAGCTTTTACTTAAAAGGTGTGAGTTTTGAAAAATTGAATATTTGGGAAAATTATCTTAAATTTTTTAACAAAATAATAAACGGAAGATGAATGAGGGTATTCGCACGATTTGTTTGATGACATAAAGTCGACAAAAATTAACAATTCCCTTGGATTTGAGACGGACGAAAGATATACAGATTAACGATTGATTAACTTAAAAATTACAATTGAATAGTTAACTAAAGTAAATTAAATCATACTAGCATGCATTTTAACGATTAAATAAATAATCAAAAGTACACGAAGATTAAATTACGAAATCATGGATTTTTAATAATTAAACAAATAACAAAAAAACTAAATCATGAAACATGTACTTTTTGAATAATTAAATAAACAACAACACAAAATAAAAAATAAAAAACTAATAGTATGTTGACAAAATTAAATAAAATATGAATTTATAATTAAACATGTTTTTTATGTGTTTTTATAATAATTAATAATTATACAGTAAAGTAAACTAATATAATCAAATTAATGAAATAAAACCTAAAAGAACTAAAAATAATAACCCAGCAAGAGTTGAACTCAGGTCTTTAAGATTACTGGTAATATGTTTTGCCATTTAAACTGTGCTGTTATTCATTATAACCACGATTTAATTAAAACATAAAGAAAAGTTGGTATTGAAGTTGGACCAAAACAGGCCCAATGGGCCAACCGGGTTATGAAATGAAAGGAACACAAAAAGCTTGTGAAAAGAAACCCTAATCTTGGGGCGCGGCGGCTGCTGTATGTATTGGATAGAGGAAGAAAAACAAAAGAAGCTTACTGTTAAAAAAAGAAAAAAAAACACGAACAAGTTAAAAGAGAAAAAAAAGGACGATTCTCTCTCATCTTCCTCTCTACTTCACGTTAACTTGTCTCATCTCTTTACGTCTTCCTCTCTTTTCCATGCTAACAAAAAACAACAAAAAGCTTTATCCTCTTCTTCTCATGTCAACCGAAACACTCTCCTCTCATATCGTGTGCTTTTGAGTTATTTGTTGTTGTTCTTACGAAAATATCTCAAAACATTTTGTCAGATCTTGTGAAACTAAAAGTTCTTTTGAGAAAAATAATTTCAGATTCGGAAAGAGGAAAGGAATCTGAACTCAAAAATGTAATAAAAAAAACAAATCGGACGTTTTACGGTGGCGCCGCCGTGAGCTCCATTCGACCATCATCGTGAACTCATCACCAACCATCATGCCTATTCTTCCAAAATAGCCCTTCGATCTCGTTTTGGTCATTTCTATGGACAAGTTCTTTTTTTTTCTATTGACAGGTTTTGGTTTGCAGGTTGTTGTTTAACAGAGGTTTTAGGTTTTGGTTTTAGTAACAGCAAATTCCTAATTAACAAGTTTTGACAGGTTAAGCGTTTGGACATTATATACCATTTTGGATTTTGGTACAACAAGTTTGTATGTTTTTGGATGGCAAATTCTAAGTTTGGACGATTTATATTGTTTTGGGGTTAACTGTTTTTTATAGTTTTTAACAGGTTGTAATGTTGGTTTTAAGTTTCAACATAGGTTTCAATTTGGTGACAGTAGGTTTTAGGCCTTGGTAAAGGTTTTAACAGCAAGTGTTTTTTGGACAGGTTTTATGGTTTTATGCTAGTTTTCAAATTCCAATGGTTTTAAGATTTGGATTTAGTAACAGCAGGTTTTAGGATTTTTACAGGTTAAGATTTGGTAATAGCAAAACAAGTTTTTTTTGGACAGCGAGTAATAAACTAGACAACAAGTGTTTTTTGGATATTTGGTACAACAAGTTAGACAACATGTTTTTTGGACAGCAAGCTCTAAACTCTAAACTGGTGTTACGCGACGGAAGAAGTATGCTTTTTTTTTATTACACTCATTATTATTACCGATATTATGAATACTAAACATGTTTAAATGCTAACAATCATGCAGCAACTCAACTCAACTCAAATACAGTACAACAAAGAAAAGAATGATAAGGCAAATATTGCATGGCAAAGAAAAAAATGGTGTAGCAAGTGATTTAAACATGAGCATATGCAACAGTATATATGGAGGAGGAAAAAGTAATACCTATCGGAGCCTCTCCGATGGGGCTTCTAAAAAAATAGTAAGTTTTCTTGAGTTTGCTATGTTTTCTTCCTTGCTGAATTTTTTAGAACAAAAACTAATTTTTTCTGTTCTTCTCACTTGCTGAATTTTAGAGCAAGAACTCTATTTTTCTGTTTTTCTCACTTGCTGAATTTTTGACTTCTCCTCTCTTTGCTGAATTTTTTTTGATTTCTCTCCTCTCCTTTCTGTTGACAAAAGCCTCCATTTATAGTGGAGTGTATGGGGTTTTAGGGGGGGGGGGGGGGGGAAACAGTAGAGATTTGAACTATTTTGGAAATCTGTTTTCATGCTTTGTTCATACAATTTATTTTAACAATTTTGATGCAAATTGTGGCTACTTTAATGCAGGTTGGAAAAGATTTTGGTAGCATTTGGGGCTGCTGTATGTTGCTGTTTTTTCAAGTTGTTTGTAGCATTTTACATCATCTTTTCTTTGCTGTTTTTTTCCAGGCTGTTTGTAGCCTTGTTGACCAGCAAAATACAACAAAATTGGGCTTGAAGATGGGTTGCAAAATGGACTGCATTAGCAATTTTGCTGAATTTTTTTAGTGTTGAAAATACATTTTGTACAAACTTGTATCTTCTTTGCAACTTTGTAATAATAACTCAAATAAATTGTAACATGAATAAACATGTATTCTTCAATATATTCTAAATTCCTTTGGTAGTTATAAATAATCTTGAATCTTCATATAAACATGAATCTTGATATATCTTGATAAAATTCCAAGTCTTCCATTTGAATTTGGGAGATAATTGAATAATACTTGGATGAATTGTTGAATGATAAATAAATAATAATAATACAAGTCTTAGACTTTAATCTTGCATTTTTGTAATATAAATCCAAATAAATCACATGAATTAATTTTGTAATCAAATAGAATTCCTCATGTAATTAAATAGAATTCCTCACTAACTTCTTGAAATAAAGCTTCATGTATTTAAATAACCATGATGTAGATCCACCAAAATAATCACAAGAATAATCTTGAATAAATATTTCATGCGATAAATGATTATTCTTGGATGAGATCTCTTGAATAGCTCCTCTTTAATTATCACTTGGATTCAAATAAAGAAAATTCCAAATATTCTAAATAAATTCTTCTAGAACGGTTTTGAATTTAATTATCCCATTTTGGCGAAATTCATCCCGCGTCATGAGAAAATTTGCAGATGACTTTTGGTCCAAGAAATCGAAAATGACGGTATAACTTGGTTTTTTCTTGTATTTTAGAACAATGTGAAACACACATGAACCAAAGTCGGTATAACTTCAACTGTTCTTCCTGAAAAAATTCGGAGAAAACGGAGACCATCCATTGGACAGAGTGTGGAAATAAACGCACAATTCTCTGAAATTCTTTGATGAACCAGTCTTTTGGAAATTAACGAACGACATTATTTCTGTCCTGAGACTCGAATCCTAATCGACGTACAACGTCGAATGCTCTTCTTTCAGACCTATTTTCCGCACATGAAAACAAAACAACAAAACATACACTTCGTGCTTGATTAGTGGTTAGTCATTCATAAGATAAAATGCTCACAACACTCGATAATCTCTACACAGTCAAAGCTCTAAGGTGAAACGTTTGAAACCTACCATATTCTGTGACCTTGATGTATATGTAAAATAATGCAGATGAAGCAGGGATCTTAGGTCAAAAATTGGGGTATGACAGTTGCCCCTATTTAAGTTTCTTCTATCCGGAGATATGAAGATTAAAATCTTCGTCTCGACGAGATTGAAGGTACTTAAATACATAATACACAATTTTTTCCCTAAGATACCGCCATTATGTTTATGATATGAATGTAGTATTTGACTTTATGGAGAATGATACTGTATGAGACAAAATAATGCTGGAGAAACTAATCACAAATAACCCACAGGAATAGAGATTATACACTACTGGGGGAATGAGCCACTGACTTCGAAATGATAGACTCTTAACGGAGAATAAAATTTGGGGGAAGACAAATTCTGACTCTAACAAAAAAAGACGCCTTACATAGGCCACGAAAAAAAAAACAGATTATTGACCCAAGATAATGGTGAGTTCATAACCCAAGGTCAAAGATAGACAAAAAGATGTATCAACTTTTGCTGATAATGAACTACCGACTTCTAAAGGCAAAGATTCACAACAAACTTCTCTGCGAGATTTTTCCAGAGAGATACCAATTGATGCTAAAATAATATATGGTTGTAGATACAAGTTGCTCAAATAAAGAAGCCGCCACTTGCTGTCTGCGAAGGATGTCTATAACATACAAGCTGCTCAAGTAAAGAAGTCGCCACTTGCTGTCTTCCAAGAATGTCTATAACATACAAGTTGCTCAAATAAAGAAGCCGTCACTTACTGTTGTCCAAAGATGTCAATAACATACAAGCTGCTCAAATAAAGAAGTTGCCACTTGCTGTCTTCCAAGAATGCTAATAACGCACAAGTTGCTCATGAAGAGACCGTCGCTTGCCATTTTCCAAAAATATTAATAACGTACAAGTTGCTTATGAAGAGACCGCCGCTTTTCGTTTTCCAAAAAAAAAATAACGTACAAGTTGCTCATGAAGAGACCTCCGCTTGTCGTTTTCCAAAAATATTAATAACGCACAAGTTGCTCATGAAGAGACCACCGCTTGTCGTTTTCCAAAAATATTAATAACGTACAAGTTGCTCATGAAGAGACCGCCGCTTGTCGTTTTCCAAAAATATTAATAACGTACAAGTTGCTCATGAAGAGACCGCTGCTTGTCATTTTCCAAAAACATTAATAACGTATAAGTTGCTCATGAAGAGACTGCCGCTTGTCGTTTTCCAAAGATATCAATAACATACAAGTTGCTCATGAAGAGACCGCCGCTTGCCGTTTTCCAAAGAATGTTTCAGAAGAAAGTTGCGATAACACTGCCAGAGAATAAAATTCTTCTTCAAAGGGAACCATGAATAGATCCTTCTTGAGGAAATCAGATACTTAAATGCGCAAAATAAAGTCACCATTCATCTAGATTGCCTAGCCTTGAGAAAACCACGAGATAACCTACACAAGAGACAAAAACTCCCTCCAGGAATAAACCAGAGAGAAGACAGTCAAACAAGACTCCACCCAATGAGAAAATAACTCAATTGGGGATTCATCCTATCCAGAAATGGACAAGGAAGGCTAAATCAAAAATTCATCCACGAGGATTAGCTCAGCTGGGGGAATTAGAAAGGAAGCACATTTTGTGCCTAAGTTAACATTCTACTTGGAAAGAACATGTACGCTGTTTGAATAAACATAAACAAGGTATACGACCCAAAATCAACGACAAATGTGAATATGCATGCGTGATATAAGTGTAAATGAGTAAATGAATGTTATGCTGACAAAACAGACAGAGAGAATATCTTGAAGATGATAAGATATCACTAAATAATAGATACTCGACCAATCTTAAAGAGATGAAAAATAACTGGAACTGGAACCAAAAAGCAACGTCAGAGCGTATCACGCTACAAGGCTCAAATCTTCTGGGGAGAAAAGTATTCAAATCTAATCTTCTAACACCAATAGACCACTAACATGATACAAAACGTACCACACTTCAGAAATTTGCTCAAATTAAAAACAACTGAAACAAAGCTTAACCGGAATTGTTGGGGAGTCACCAAGCTTAGTACCACTAGAAACGCAAGTTTACACAACCAACACCTCATGACGATTTTGAAAGAAAACATGTTCATCATGCAAGGATAAATTACTGTATTGTTTTGCATTTCATGGCTTGACCATCCTCGGAGCAACTGTTAATATTCCTTTCATTATTCACAACACATTTAAAAATAGGAATGCGTTAAATAACTTTGTTTCAAATATTGCCGTAAAAGCTGAAATTTTGCCCACAAAAAGATAAATGCTCAAATTTCATTAATAAGATGGTATTTTGCTAACAATGCGATTCCAACAGTTTACAAAAGTTTTGGGAAATAGTACATGAAAGAAAAAGGTTACACAGAAACAATGATCATTATTATCCCTAACAACTTCGAATTCTGAGATGTGCTCAAATGCCACGACTGGTCTGACCAAAAGCTTGCCTAAGCCGCCCCTTCAGGTTTTCAACTTAGCAAACTGTCAACTCAAACCTAGGCGAAATACTTCTTGACTGCATCGGCATTCATGGAGCGCGGGATTTCTTCACCGTCCATATTTGTGAGAATCATGGCGCCTCCAGAGAAAACCTTCTTAACGACATATGGCCCTTCATAATTCGGAGCCCATTTGCCCCTAGAATCAGGTTGGAAAGATAATATATTCTTGAGTACGAGGTCACCTTCTCTGAACTCGCGTGATCGAACCTTCTTATCAAAAGCCTTCTTCATTCTTTACTGATATAGTTGACCGTGACACAACGCTGTCAATCTCTTTTCTTCAATTAAATTCAACTGATCATATCTACTTTGACACCATTCAGCCTCAGAGAGTTTAGCTTCCATCAAAACTCTCATAGACGGGATCTCAACTTCCACGGGGAGTACTGCCTCCATGCCATAAACTAGGGAAAATGGGGCTGCACCTGTTGAAGTTCGAACTGAAGTACGATATCCATGTAAAGCAAACGGAAGCATTTCATGCCAATCTTTATAAGTTACAACCATCTTCTGGACAATCTTTTTGATGTTCTTATTAGCAGCTTCGACAGCCCCATTCATCTTCGGCCTGCAGGGAGAAGAATTATGATGTTCGATCTTGAACTCTTCACAAAGATCTTTCATCATCTTATTATTCAAATTCGAGCCATTATCAGTGATGATCTTGCTCGGGATGCCGTATCGACAAATGATCCGATTCTTGATAAATCTGACTACCACCTGTCTGGTTACATTCACATAAGATGTTGCTTCCACCCATTTAGTAAAATAATCAATCGCCACCAAGATGAAACGATGACCATTTGAAGCTTTGGGTTCAATCATTCCAATCATATCAATGCCCCACATAGAGAAAGGCCAAGGTGAAGAGATAAAATTGAGGAGGGTCGGTGGCACATGTATCTTGTCCGCATAAATTTGACATTTATAACATTTCTTCACATATTTGCAGCAATCGGATTCCATCATCATCCAATAGTAACCAACTCTCAACATCTTTTTAGCCATTGCATGTCCGTTGGCATGAGTGCCAAACGATCCTTCATGTACTTCTTCCATCAGCATGTCTGCTTCATGTCTGTCTACGCATCTGAGTAAGACCATGTTGTAATTCCTTTTATATAATACTTCTTCATTGAGGAAGAAACTACTTGCCAATCTCCTCAAAGTCTTCTTATCTTTATTGGATGCCCCAGATGGGTACTCTTGAGTTTGAAGAACACGTTTAATGTCATAGAACCACGGTTTATCGTCAAATACTTCCTCTGCTGAGAACACATGAGCAGGTATGTCGAGGCGCATAACTCTGATTGTAGGCACATCATTCCAATCATTCACTTGAAACATTGAAGACAAAGTAGCTAAAGCATCAGCCATTTGGTTTTCATCTCTAGGGATATGGTGTAA